GGGCACGCGGGGCGCGCGGGGGTGGGGGGGCCAGTGTGCGTCTAGCAGTTTGGGGTTTGTAAATAGTGCCCTTGTGCTGGGCTGAGTGGGGCCACTTCTGCTGTGCTGCGTCTCATTGCCCCCAACCGGCCCCTCGCTCTGCGGACCACCCTCCATCACATGCCCTATTTCCCCAATGGGGGCCCACAAATATGCTTGGCGCCGGGCCCCCAAAAAGTTAATCCGGCCCTGCCTAGGATTGGAATGCCGCCTCGTTCAATCTGCCGCCCCAAGCACCAGCTTGCTCGGCTGGTGCCTGGAGCCGGCCCTGACTGCAGGTCTAAATAAACAGAAGTCCAAAAAATGGGCCTGAAATTATGTGTGTCCACAAATTTGCACTAGCAAAATCAAGGCATGGTTGAGGTCAAACTGAAAATTTGGCCCGAGAGATTTGCTCATGGTGACATAGAGATTCAGTGGCATAGACCAGAATAGAACCCAGAGGTGAGAACTCTTATTGCTGTGCTATAAAAACTACCGATAGTGTCTCAGCATTTTAATAGCAGATTCTGAATGGTCCAAAACCAGTGTAAAGAACACTGGAGTACATTAGTAAATTAAGCTTTGGTAAAGTCAAAACTCACTTCAGACTATCCAGCGGTTGCTTGATGCAACACTCTAGCATTCACTCTGCCTGTCATGCCACTCCCACCAGACTTGCCCGTTAGTGGCCTAAAGGAATCCCATTTTTGGTGGTCATGTATGTTTCTCTACTCAATATTCTTATTTTTATATCTTAAAGGGTATAAAATAAAATACATTGGGGCAGATCCTCAGTTGGTGTAAATTGTCATAGCCACATTGAAATCAATGGAGCAATAATAACTAACCAGCCAAGGAGCTGCTTTACACATTTAAAAGCACTAACACTGGAAAAACTGTGACTTACCTGTCACCTACAAGTGACCTTGCAGGCTACAGGCCTCGTCTGAGATAGGTGTGACTTTACCAGTAGTGTATTTTGGTGTATAACGGTTACTGCTGATCAATATGAATTCTAAGCTTTGTAAAAGGTAAATATAACGTTCCTAAAATGCCCCTTGCAATGTTTACACCTACTGATAGTCTGTTCTGTTCATAGATTGCAGCTGATAAAGAAAGCTGCTATTACTGTTCTCCTGTGCCTGTTTTATTTAACCATATGATCCCATTTTCAAATGTCTTCCTTGGCTACCAGAGAAGTTGCACATTGATTTGATAGCATTGTAGCATACCTACTAGTACTGGACCTAAACAGCAACCTGACATGTTTTCCTCTGTGTCCCTAGCTGATTTTGTTTTTAAGGTCAAAGTCTGCAGATTTACTAACTGTAAAAATAAATGCAGAGACCTTTAAGACTCTGGCTTTTGTAATTTGATCCCGCGAGGTGCCGAGTATCTCCTGAGAAGTCTGACGCTATAAACTCCAGTGATACCAAAGGGAGTTGCAGGTGCTGAGGATCAAGCCCTGGTATTTAGAGCTACATTTATCGTTTCCTATTAGAAAATAAATATATTTCTGTTTTAAATTCACAACTGAAAAGGTTTTGTTTGATGCTGCTTTTGAGTGTGCTCGTTATAAGGCAAATTACATTAGGCTGAGATCCTGCAATCCTTACTCAAGCATGTGGTCTCAGTCAGATCACTCCTGCCCCTTTAAAGTCAATTGGTATTTGACTGATTGGACCCACTCATGGCCGTAAGGGTTGGCAGGATCCATAGTTATAGATGTGTAGGACCAAAGGCACAGGACCTTCAGTGTGGAAATGGTTGAGGACAAGTTTTTCACGTCTATTTTATAATCTTATAAACTTTGTGTTCTCTAGGAGAGAAGAAGCCAAACAATTGTAACCAGAGACAAATTCAAACCTAACAATCCTGATGGACATTTCATGAAGGGCACTGCATAAATAGTATTATCAGGGAACCTCTTCTTACATTCTATAAAAAATGGTTCAGATCTCCTTTAACATTCGTTGATCTATTTCATAGACCTGACTTGTTTTGGAATATTAAAAAGACAGCTCACCACCATTCACTTTCTGAATTTACCTTGCAGCACTGAAAAGAATAATATGTAAAAGAATGATTGCACTCAAATCACCAACTTGACAGGCACTAAGAGATAAATCAACATCCATATTAGGACTACAAAACGGTAAGTGACTGGAACTTAGTAATTAATTAAGGAGAAATTCCCAACTATAATGAATTAGAAAGGTTAATTACCCACAACATAAACTTAAATATATATCTAGTATACATGATCATACAAAGTAACATACTCACTGGATTTCCATATATTGAAAGCTCTTTAAGACTAGGAACAACTTCAAGTTTTTCCAGTTCAGACAATTCCTGTTCACAAGTTAAAAAATAAGTTAGATGCTATCACATTTCAAAGCCTCGGAGCCAAATTTATTTACTTTGGCCAAATGCAGGGGTCTTTACCCAGGCAAAACCACTGAAGGTAATGAGAATTTTGTCTGAATAAGGATCTCAATATCTGGCCCATTGAATCTATAGTCTCAACACCAATATATTTTACCTGAATTTTATTAAGTCCCAGGAAAAGTTTCTGTAATTTTACTAAAGGCTGTAAATTGTTCAGTTCTCGTAGTCGGTTTTCCTCTAGGTGAAGTGCCAAAAGGGAGGTCTGTCTAGCAAAGGAGCCCTCTGCAATTGTTTTTATACGGTTATGATCCAATACCAACTCCTGCAGAAGCTGTAGACCTTCAAGTCCTTCGATTTGACTGATTTCATTACCTGATGAACCAAGATTATACGTGGGAAATGAGATGAAATGCGGTTGGTATTTGATTGTAGCACAAAACAACCCTTAACAAAAACAGTCTGTGGTAGAGAACTTCCCAGATTATCTATACACTGTGTAAAAAGGCATTTCTTCTGATTCATTTTAAATGTACTGCCTTCCAATACCACAGAGTGCCTCTTCGTTACTGAGTTACAGAAAAGGATGAATTTGAGTGCCCAATGGGCCTTCTCTGTACCATTACAGTGACTGCAGTGTTGCTCCTTGAACTTTCTCCTTTGGGAAGTACTATCTTGCTTTATATTATAAGGAAGGTCCCCCAGCTTCTAGAGATCTGACTGTCCAAAATTGCTTGGCTAATCTCTATTTAAAGCAAATTATCTTTCTAATTAATAGTTAGGCTGCTGAAGAAGACTAAGATCAAATCATCATGGTTGTTCAAATGCTGTAAAATAGCTGGATTTTAATGACACAGTATCATATTTGTTAGGATCGAGCTCTCTCAATTAATGGTTCCAGTCTTACAAAAATTTACTACCCTGAGTAGTCCCAGTGATGTCCATGGAGCTACTCATTGCAGTAAGTGCTGTGGGCGAGATTCTTAACTGAGATCCAGCCCCAGGGCATAAAGGGGACAGATTCTAGCCACAATTAGCCAGCAAGGAATTTCTTTGGCACAAAGGAATACCCCCCTGGCATAAAACTGGCAGAGGCGTCTTTCTGCACTAGCTGTCCCTTCTCTTTTCAATGTAGGGGTGTGTCAGGGTTGGGGAGGGATTATGAGAGGGTGTGGTGAGGTACACTATACTACGCCTAAAGAACCCTAAACCAATGGCATAAATTAGGCCATCCCCATAGCTGAGTTGAGCTTGGCCAGTGTTTGCAGGACTGGAATCAAAGTTAGCTTCCCTGTAGAACATTATATCCTGGCTGCACAAATATAAACAAATGCTCTTATTACTTACCCTGTAGAAACAGCAATTTCAAATTTTTTAGCCTACTAAGCTGTAGCTGGGCCAAGTTACTAATTCCATTGTAGCCCAAATGAAGAACTTCTAAACTTTGCATGATTGGGGGCAGATTTTCACCAAATCCTGCATCCCTAAAACAATTAAGCAAGGAGGAACATGAGGCCAGATAATTTCCAAACATTTCCCCCAGTAAACAGTAATTTAAGCATTTCTCTCCCATTAACATCAGTTATAGACACTTTATGTAGGTAAACAGGAATTTACTAACTGGTCCAGGTTCAATAGAAATTATACCTGTCTACTACAGAAAGACTAAAAAGCACCGAAAGAAATCTAGTTTTTGAAGTTTCAACAGCTTTATACAGACTTCTGTGCTTATGGAAGGTAGGCCAGGTTTTACTGGATGCAGACCATGGAAATCAAACAAACATGGAAAACCACTCTTCTGCCCACAAAAGGCCTGAATACATATAATGGAAACAGCAGGAAATTGCTGTTAAATTTAGTAAAATATTTATGTAACCTTTGGCTGTATTCTCACAACAGCCCTGTGATGGTGTGGCAAAACCAAACAGCAGCATGCAATATCTTACTACTTTACTTATAAAAGCTTCGTTTTTGTAACATATGACCATAATGAAGGAGTGTGGGATGACAGATTGAGAAAGGCACTGGCAGGAACTCCGGAGTTCTTATTTCAGCTTTGCCACTGCCCCATGACCCAATCACATAGGTAGCTGAATGATTCCTGAAGGTGCACAGCAACCTGAATTCTCATTAAACCACTAAAATTAGTAGCTGCTTAGGTGCAAGTGATCATGATTTGATTAAACTGTTATGTGCAGAATAAAGCTCAAACCAGTGATATATTATATACTTATTGCTTTAAAAAAGCCAATTTCACAAATCTAATAATTATGAACCAAATCAGCTGGAAGAGAGAATTTAAGCACTGGCCAAGGACAGCAATTGTGAGTGGGGTGCAGAGAAGGCACGGGCATGTTTAAGGGACTTTTGGGTTGCTGGACTTATAAACTGGAGGGGAAAAGGACACTGCCCAACTTACTTGGGGGTGGGTCTTTCGCTCATGGTTTGTTTATGAACCCTAGTTGCAGTGTTTTCCCAAATTAATACTGAGTCATTTCCCTCCTTTTATTAAAAGTTTTTGCTACCCTCAGACTCTGTGCTTGCGAGAGGGGAAGTATTGCCTCTTAGAGGCGCCCAGGGGGTGGTGTGTAATTGTCCCAGGTTACTGGGTGGGGGCTCGAGCTGGTTTTGTGTTTTATTGTTGAAAAGGAACCCCTAGATACTGAACCTGGCCCTTGTTGCTGCTGACTCCACCTGGCAGAAGGGTTATATTTGCATAAGTGTCACTGAATTAAAAAGTTAGTTTTCTAGAATATTTCAAAGGCTAGTACTGTATACATAGCAGTTGCAAATTAAAACCTACATAAATGTACATTTATATCTACCCACTATGCAGTACAAACTGGTCAGCAATCTACTGCTACTGGTGCACAACTTTCAGTACGAGACAGATCTGGTCAGAACATTTCAATTGAAATGCTTTTATAAACAGTTGTGAGACACTTTTTTTATTTAAGAATATGCAATGTGAAAACGTTAGTATACTGCAAAATGCTGATATTTGCCATTTTTGCTGCGGGCTAAACTGCTTAATCATTTCTGAAAAAAAAATAGTTGTCCATTCAAAACCAATAAAAATCTTAGAATACATTGTCATTTGGCAGCTTTAATCAATAAAACAGAACATTATGGTGCTGAAATTAATAAAAACTAGTCATAGTGCAGTATATTTTTGGAACTGAGCAAAGAATGACATCTTTCTTATTTTGGGTATCACTGTTTCACCTTGCCTACAATCTTACGACACCACTTCACAGCTCCACATCATACCTGATCCTAGTGTACATCAAATAAGCTTTCAAATAATACATGATGTGGATGTGTGTGGGGTAGGGTACAATAAACTCCAAAAAATATGACCCTTTTTGAAGAATTGCCACATGCCTATTTCAGCCAGTACCCTTTCCCCCCCAAAAGAACTAAAAACAAACGCATGCCATTTGTACAAAGCTTCCCATTCCCAACTGAATCTTACTGTTCCTTAAATTAATCATGTGCCCTAGAGAAGGAGGAGAGTTTGGGACAAGAAATAAACACATACATATGCCAAATGAACACAAAAAATGAAGGTAGGAAGAGCTGGACACTCATTTGAGAAATACACATATACACAACCAAATCTTACATTTCTCTGTGCTGCTCTGTCACTAATAATATTTCCTAAAAGCATGGAGGGAACTCTGGGGAGCAGCTTGGCAAGTCTTGTCTGATGGGATTGGACTGAAATTGGCTATAGACACTGTCAAAGTTGTAAAGACCTGACTGAATGAAACTTGACATGTTCCTGAAGTTTCAGTCCTGTTAGAATGCAAAAATGAGAAATGCAAACTGAAAGCTGATTTGAAAAGTTCTTCAGGACATAAACTGACCTAATGTGTTGGTGCCAAAAGAAAGAAAAAATCGGTATGGATTTCTGCTGCAGGGGATGAGAAAAAGAGCTCTTTTAGGAGATGGGATAGGAGAAGGGATTATTGGCAGATAAAAGACTGCTCTGACTAGACACAATATTAAGAAGGAAGTTTGGATGAATATGCAAAAGCACTGCTTGACTCTATTATACAAATAGTAGCATGAATCAGTCACTATGGCATGGAGCTCACAGATTCTAATAAGTGGTTGTGACTGCTATCAGAATACTTGCATGTCTAAAAGTAGCTGAGTTTTCACAGTTTTGGCTCAAAAGAGGTGTACTATTACCTCAGTATCAAGATTACAGTGATTCAATATAATAGCAGGACTTTATACAGCTTTTAAAGATTTCAAGTACTTAATGTCCCTGATAGGCCTGATTAGAGACCTATAAACATGCCATACCAGATCAAACCAATGACCCTGGAGTCAGATAACTTGCTTGTGATCAATACCAAATGCTTGAGAGGAAGACAAACAAGCCCCATAATATATCTGTCCAGTTATGCAATGCTGTACAAGGAGAGTGGGAGAAGAGAAGATTGGGATAATTAGTTTGACTTCCGTGGGTCCAGAAGCTGATGAGAGAGAGACACTGTCTGGTGGATAGAGCAAGCAGCACTTGTTTTCTATTCCAGGCTCTGCCAGAGATTGACCTTCACTCAACTTCTTTGTGCTTCAGTCTAAGTCAGTGCACTCTAGGGTGTCTCTGAGCCACAGAGTTAAAGGGTACATCCAGACTACCCGCCATATCGGTGGGTAGCGATCGATTCATTGGGGATCGATATATCGCGTCTCGTTAAGACGCGATATATCGATCCCCGAACGCACTCCCCATCGACTCCGGAACTCCACCGGAGCGAGCGGCGGTAGCGGAGTCGACGGGGGATCCCGCGCCGT